TTTAGGAGCAGAAATAAACAAGAACCATGACTTTAATTGTGTAAAAGAATGCAGTTAAATGTTTCCAATGTTCACTGATTGATTTGGAAAATATTAAGATGTCATCATATAAACAATTGAAAAATGAGTAAATGGGTTGAACATATCATTCATGATATTTTGAAATTCACTAGGAGCATTTTTAAACACAATGGCATGACATTCATTCATATTGGCCAAAGGGTGTATTAAATGCAGTTTTATATCTATCTTTCGGATGAAATTTGAATTTGCCAAAACCACTTTTTAAATCGAATTTACTGAAAATAACAGCTTGACTGAGTCGTTTAATTAAATCTTTTTATTAGGAATAGGATACCTAATCCATTCTTAGAACATCATTTAAAGGTTTATAATTGATAACCAAACGAGGGACACCACGTTCTAATTCAGCATTCTGTTAACATAAAAGCAGAACAAGACCAAGGTGATTTACTAGGACTAATAATTCGAGTTCGTAATAATTCATTAATCTCTTTTTACACATTTCAAGTAATTCATGATTCATTTGGATAGGGCGAGATTTAGTAGGGATTTGCTTTTCATTAAAATTCTTAATATAAGGTAAAGTAACTACATTGTTTTTCCTATGCCAAAATGCAGTAGTTAAAGTAGAACAAACAGTAGATTCAAGTTTTAATTTGAAATCATTGATTTGAGAAATAAAATGGATCAGTCAATTGTTGGTCAATGCGTTTTATGATTTATCTTCTCTTTAAGAAATCGTAAATGTCGAGGTTAAACGATTTATTGTATGAGAAATAGAACAATCTTGTAATTGTTTAAGTGTAATAGTTCAGGAGGAGATATAAAAAGTTAAAAGTAACAGGTTGACCTAAAACATGTGTAGTTTATGCCAGTACTTGAGGTAGTAAAAGGATATAATAAATATATAAATGGAGATCCTAAAATAATTTGTCAGTCATATTTTGTGACTAGAACAAAAGAGGTTTTGAAACATACATTATCTTGGCAAACATGTACTTTCGGTAATTTATATTTGATATGGCATTTAGTACCATTAGCAGAGTTATATTTTTCTTGACATTTTTCATAATATGTAGTAGGAAGTAAACCTTCTTGTATACAATTTAAATCAACACCAGTATCAATTAAAGCAATTAATCTAATTCAAAGTCATTGATAATTATTTATTTTAAATACTATTTTTGAAATATAAAGTTTATTAATTAGACTTAATCGTTTTCTTCAGGATTGTTGGGTTGAGAGTGGTGTGATTTTATTATCAAAGATTAGATTATCTGGATTAGGATCAGAATCATGTTCAGATTCATGTAGAATTCTTGATTATTAGGTTGGAATTATCTAAGCTTTGATTAATTTTAAAGTAATAATTTCATCTTCTAGTTTTATCTTTATGTTGTAATTCTTTGATTGTTTGTTAATTTGATTGATTCTTGTGTAAATCTGTAATGTTCCTTTTTGTTAGTTTTAAACCTTTCTAAAAGTTTTGGATAGACTGATTATTGGTTTATCAAACTTTGGTTTGGAATCTGAATGGATTAATAAAGATTTAACTTGTCAGTATATTTTTTGTTTAACTTTGGATCATCTAATTTACTAATTAGGTCGATTAGAGCAGATTCTTTCTGAGTACTTTTGGTGAGAACAAGTTAGTTGTTTAACAGGTTTGCAACAAACATCATTACAGCCAATAGTAATATTGTTTATCAGAATCACTGCTTGGTGAATGGTAATCGGATGAAAGTATCGGTTGATCAGAAGAGGAAGAACTACTAGCAGGGTGATTTAATGGAAAATTTCATATACTGATTTTTGGAGTTATCATCAATTTGAGTGATTGACTCTATCTTTTAATTTTTGTTTTTCTTACATTTGTTTAGAATAATGACCTTTTTGACCACAGTTATAACAAGTAACATCTTTGGTAGATTTAGATTTTGGATGTGATTTAGATTTATAATATTTCTTTTTAGGTTTGGTATAGGAATTTATCATTGGATTGGAAGGTGAATAATTCTTCTATATTTAATATTTAGTGGAATGTTTGTATGATGATTTATGTTTGGGAGTATTTGTGTGATTTCTTACGAGAGGTGCAACAGGAGGTAAACCATATTGTTCACAGAAATTGCCTATTATCATATTTAGCTTTATGTTTATCTTTATTAGCTTTTCTGAGTAAGTTTAAGATCAATACACATTTTTAACCTTCTTTTTGTAATAGTTGCTAATTATATCACCATATGTTAAATTATCGTATTCAATAATACCAGTAGGTTGACTAAGAACATCTCTAATTTTGTGAGCAAATAAGCTAGGTAATCCATTAATAAATTTCTCTTTCCAGAAGGGTTTAGTACAGTCGTCTCTTAACATGACTCGAGAGCTAAATACATCTTTATACCACACTAAATCACTTAAGGTTGGACAGTTAAGATTACTAAGTTGATCATGTATGCGAGAATATATATTGGTAGGGGTAACCAATAAAAATGTCGAACTATGGTATAGAATTAATTGATTAATACCATCAGGGTGACAACATCCTATAGATTCATCAAAGATGGGGTAGACCCATTTTCATCAGTTTGATTAGCATAGATGATTGTATCACTTGTTCTTCAGTAAGGTATTTTTCCACCAAGATTTGAGCATACCAGTAAAACCAGAGGTGAGTAAGGAAACAATTTCAGGTTGAGAATATTGAGGATAATTACTAAGATAACTATTTGCCACATGGATAAAATGATAATTTTTGCAGGATTTGATCTTTCACTCTGACCATCAATATTCCATTCATATAATCTTTTAGCGAAACAGAAAATTGATTACTAATATTAGTTTCTTCAAATTGGAGGGTCAGGTGGAGTAGGTCGAGAATACCAATTTTTAGTAGTTTGAGGATTAACTTTGGGATAATGAATTTATTAAGATTAGAAAGGTTGAAAACTGTTGGGCCAATTGATCTATTTCATTATCAGTAGTGTCCAGTTGCGGGTGATCAGAAATAGTGTTGGTAAGAGGTTGTTGATTAAAAAACAGTAAGACATTTATCTTTGGATGTAGAAGTATCATTGGAGTTAATTTAGTAAATAATTGTTCAATAGCTTTGACAATAGATTGATCATTAGTAACTAGGCTGGTTCGTTTCGAACGGTGACTGGGAAGATTTAGTAAAGGTTGATCTAAGGTTTTAGTAGATTTAGCAGATTGTTTGTTTCTCTACATTAATTCTGTTTATCTAATTGTTTACCAATTGTCTGTTAAACATTGATTAGTATAATTATTTTGTTCAATAACCTTTTTCATTTCAGAATCAGTACCAGGTAATTTAAAAGGAGAGGCTGGAACTTCAGAACCCTGATGATCAATAATTATAGTTGCCAATGGAGGATGATTGGAGCTAACAGAAGTATTAGGAGAAGTTTTTCATTTATGTTTGGTGATTGTATTAATCTTTTTTGTAATATTGATCCATATAATAAGAAGGGTAATTCAAAACCATATTGAACCATAAAATCATACCATTCTCTAGTTATTCGGGATTGCTGAGCAGAATTATATTTAGCACGGTAAGCATGTCGTTTAGGTCTTTTTAATCACACTTTTTAAGTGTCATTAAAAAATGCTTTCATCACACCTTTTAAGTGTGATTAATAATATTTAGATCACACCTTTTAAGTGTGGTTAAAACATTTAGATCCACACTTTTAAGTGTGATTAAAAATATTTAGATCACACCTTTTAAGTGTGGTTAAAAAATATTAGATCACACACTTTTAAGTGTGATCAAAAACTTTAGTTCACACCTTTTAAGTGTGATTAAAAATATTTTGATCACACCTTTTAAGTGTGATCTTTGGAAGTGTGATTAAAAATGATCATTTTTAATCACACTTTTTAAGTGTGATTAATAACATTAGATCACACCTTTTAAGTGTGATTAAAAAATATTTACATCACATCTTTTAAGTGTGATTAATAACATTTAGATCACATCTTTTAAGTGTGATTAATAATTAATAAAATCTGTGATAAAAAAAAAGGTGCTACATATTTGAAAAATAATCAATATTATTTTTGTATGCACATTTGAATAATGTAATCACAACTATATACTATATTTTGAATCATAACCACATATTGAATGAATAACGTCATATATTTCATAAATGAAAATTAAATATTCAAAAGTATATACAAAGGAAATAAATAATAAAAAATAAACTGGCTTACATATATTAAAAAATGAAAAAAACTTAAAAAAAACTAAGTTCTTTAATTCTTGGACCATATTTTGCATCTCTCCAAAAAAATTCTGACCTGAAAAAATAAAAACAAAATTAATCCAGAAACCGCTGATGCATATGAATAAACTAAAAAGTTAATTCAGCAAACCAAAATAGAAACATTAATTATTTCTGCTTGATCTTAATTCTTTTGGAAGTAACTTCTCTGTTACAACAATTAGATGCCACAGCAGCTCAGTGTCAATGACATTGTATTTAGAGGTCACTAATGAGCACAATATTTAAAAATGATAAATTTCAATACAGCTTGTGTACGATCTTTTTGTGATATATATTTATTATTACTGGTTGAACCATAATTCTAGGTACCCATAAATAAATAAATAAAAACTCAAGAATTTACTCTTTTTTTTGGGGGGGGGGGAGATACATTGCAGTTACTATCACCAGCACCAGCAGCAGGTTTTGAAGAAGCAGAAACTGCATTTTCTTTTGCACCTTTGGAGGAAAAAGAAGAAAAAATAGCTACCCATTTCATGCATGTCTATCTACCAAAGAATAACTGCAAACACTAACAATTGGCAACAAGCGATAGAAATCATAAAGAAAATACATTATTATCTCAAATATCTAGCGAAGCATTGTAGCCTCAGATTCAATTCCTCCAACTCCCCAGCCAACAACTCCTAAGCCAGCAATCATATTTGTATGGGAATCAATCCAACCACGCTATCAGGGTATAGAATGCCATTTGTGTAGAAAATAACCCATCCAAGGTATTCAAGATTAACTTGAAAATTACCAGAGTCACTTGCTAAATGCCAAACCTACCAAATAATATTATAGTGCTAAAAAAATGAGAAAATTTGGACTATGATTTACAAGAGGCTAGAGGTAAATGTGGCTTTACTCTGGAAGCCCCATAAATAGTTAAACATTGCAAACCTCATGTATTGAGCCTATACCTATCTAATGTTTTGGCCCTTTTAAGAGTAAACCATTCATACCACCTTAAGGTCAAATTCTTGCACCTTGCCATGAGAATTTTCCTTTAACAACAGTATAACATCTAGATATAGAAATACCCTTGATGCACTAATGAATCCAAAGTCTTACCTGGTGGACAATACCAGAACCAGGAGGAACAATGAGCATATTGTGAAAAACATTGGAACCCCACTTCAGAAAAACAAACCTCTCCTTGTTTCTCTGAAATTCAAGCCCCATATTTGCCTGCATTGCATTCACTTCCTGCCACATCAACCTGAACAGAATTGTCAATAACAAGATCCACTGGAACCTGGACATAACATTTATGTGTGTAAACAAATATTGGTTATATTAATTTATAGTGTGAGATTCTAACAAATTAAGAACAACTCTGTTGATTGATACATGTGAAGGTTAAGTTGGAAATCAATGGTACATCAAGAAAGCAGATTTTTTTGCCCAATATTATTTGCCGACTCCCAATGAAGGTCAGCAAGTGGGCCGAGCAGAAAACACATTAAGGCAACATGCAATCAAGACCCTACTACCAAACTAAATATTCAAAGCGCTCAAGGCCATCACCTTGCATTGTTCGTTCATGGCCAAGAGCTGGGCCTCTTTTGTGTCAAGTAGAGCGGTCAACCTCACATTTTCTTCATAAGTTTCTGGACTTCAGTTTCTTTCTGCATTTTCTCACTGTTCGGCTGTGTGGTCTTTTCAACTAACCTACTTCCAAACAAAATCAAATTTATCATTTAACCAAAGTCGGTGTGGTAGATATCAGTATTATTAAGAAACAAAACGGTCGGCCCATTAAATTAGTCACATATTCTTCAATAGAAAACACAAAATATGGCAGTGACACCTTCCATACTCATAGCTTCTCCAAATTAGGTTCTGTGCTACTGGCTACTGCTGCTGTTGTTGTTTGTTACTTTCTTGCTGAAGCTTGTTCTGCTGTTGCTTGCCATTTTTGCTGGTGCTTAATGATCTGATGTTACCTGTTGTCTACGAGGATGTGGTGATTGTTTTATAGTCTGAATTTTTATTTATTAGTATAGTTATGTGGTGGTTGTTTTATAGTCAAATTCTTAAATTTAAAAAATAAATAAATATAAATAAATCAAACTGATGTAGCCAAAATGATATGTAATGGGTCTCAACAAATTTTTAAACTTCACAGAACAAGGTAAATTTTTTTTAACTTATTCCCATCACATAGCAGTGCAGTCTTGTTCTGAATCTAATTCTAAAGATACTCAACAGCTGTACAAAGAGAAATCAAAGTACCAAACCAATTAAACAACTAAACATAAAAAGAAAAAGAACATTAATATGTACATCTATACTATACTAAATAAAAGGATTCTACATCTCAAATTCCTATCTCTTCTATAGCTATTGATCTTCCTTGTCTTCCCACTCATACTCATCATATGCTTACCAGATCTAAGGCTAAAAATCTCATGTGTTTCACTGCTGCTTCTCCTACTACCTCTGCTGCTGCTGTTGAACCTCAAACCTACCAAGAGGCTGTTGCTTCTGCAGGTTGGCAACATGCTATGTTAGATGAGTATGCAGCTCTCCAAAAACAGGGCACTTGGTCTTTGGTGTCTCTCCCTCCTGGTAAACAAGCTATAGGGTGCAAATGGGTTTACAGAATTAAGAAAAATTCAGATGGCACAATAGCTAGACACAAGGCTTGGCTTGTAGCCAAAGGTTTTCTTCAAACAGAGGGTGTGGACTATTTTGAAACCTTTAGTCCTGTGGCCAAGCAGCCCACTATCAGAGTTCTTCTTTGTCTTGCTCTTCACTATAATTGGTCCATTAAACAACTTGATATTTCCAATGCCTTCTTACATGGTGTTCTAGAGGAAGAGGTGTACATGACTCAACCACAACGTTTCATTCATTCCACTCAACCTTCTCTTGTCTGCAAGTTACATAAAGCTCTCTATGGTTTAAAACAAGCTCCTAGAGCTTGGTTTTCTACATTTTCTACCTTTCTTCTTTCTCAAAATTTTGTTACCAGTCACTGTGATTCTTCATTGTTTGTTCATAAGACCTCTACTTCCATCACTATTCTTCTCATCTATGTAGATGATATTCTCCTCACATGTAGTAATCCTCATTACATTCATACTCTCATTCAGCAAATGCATAATACATTCTCCATGAAGGAACTTGGTTTTGTTAATTACTGTCTAGGCATTTCTGTCATCCAATCTTCCTCAGGTTATGTTCTTTCTCAATCCAAATATGCCTCAGACATTCTGGCCAAGGCTGGCATGCAAAATTGCAAACCTTATTCCTCTCCTATGGCTGCTAAATGCTCCACTTTTTCTCCTGAAGATGTCCTACCCTTTTCTCAACCTTCTCTTTATTGAAGCTTGGTAGGTGCTCTTCAATATCTTACTATCACTCGACCAGATTTGGCTTTAGCAGTCAACACTGCTTGTCAATTCATGCAATCTCCCTTAAATTGTCACTTTGCTGCTGTGAAACGATTGCTCAGATATGTGAAAGGTACTTTGACTCATGGACTGCATTTCTCTCGTGGTCCTCTCCTTCTTAATGCCTACGCTGATTCAGATTGGGCTAGTAGTACTCTTGACAGAAGATCTACAACTGGATATTGTATTTACCTTGGTCCCAATCTCATTTCTTGGACTGCTAAAAAGCAGTCTACTGTGTCCAGATCTTCCTCAGAAGCTGAATACAGAGCTTTAGCTCAAACTTCAGCCGAACTCTGTTGGCTTGGTATGCTTCTCAACAAGCTTCATGTTTCTGCCCCTGCTCTTACTCTATGGTGTGATAACCTTTCTGCCATTGCTATGGCTCATAATCCTGTTTTTCATGCCCATACAAAGCATATTGAGGTGGACTATCATTTTGTTCACGAAAAGGTTGTTGCCAAGTCTCTTCACATTGCATATATTCCTACTTCTGATCAAATCGCTGATATCTTTACTAAACCTCTCTCAGTGGCTCGCTTCCAATACCTTCAAAGCAAACTCTTAGTCCTTCCCAGTCCTATGAGTTTGAAGGGGGACTGATAAAGACTCTGCTGGTGCTGCTAAGCCTCAAGACCAAGCAGTTCAAGAAGCTCAATCTGTTCAAGAAGCTCAACATGCACTGTCCACTGCTAAATGATGAGTCTGCACGTGTGTAATTAGTTAGTTTGTTAGAGATATTAAATCAAAAGCTGTCATATTGTTAGAACAGTTAACTAAAGTTGGTTAGGTAATTATAAGTCTGGTTAAGCTGAGGTTAATATTGTATCACTTGTATAAAAGCATTGTTATATAGCTCCTACTTTAACAATAAGAACAAATATCAAGATTGAATATCTTCTCAATTCTCTTTATGGTGGTGGTGAGAACCACCACCACACAAAGGAACAAGACCAGCAAGTGTGTGGGAGACATATTTCCTTTGCTTTGGGCACTCTGGATTTTTTGGTGATGCAAAACTAGGCCATTTGGGTGGCCTTTTATAAGGGTTTGGAGCCATTGTCGGCAGGACACGTGTCATTACTTTGTGAATTTTCCCTTGGTATGTGGTCTGTAGTAATTATAGCACAGTACTGTGAGTGTCAAATTGATGTTGTGATGGTTAGTAGAAAATCTCTAATGTGAAATTTGTCTTTAGTATATTGCCTTTAAATGTGATGAGCACCTCTGGGACCCTCTAAGCTGATAAGTTTGACAAATCTACCTACAAATTAAAGCAATGTTCGTCCAAATATGATCGATAAAAAGTTAGGTAGTCTGGTAGAGATTGTGATACTTTGTAATAATTTTTTTTTTATATTTAAAATAATAATAATAAATTATTTTGATCATTTCACAATTCTTAAATGTTATAATGGAGATCTTTTATTACAATCATAATATGAAAGATCCCATCAGTTCATTTGGAGGATGCTTCAAAAAATAATAGTACTATTATAATTTTAAAAAATTTATCTCAAAACATTAATATGCAATCCAGATACATTTTATACTTTATACCAATTTAATCTCTCTCACACATGCCCATTGATACACTAGTAATTTTGAAAACATAAAATATATAGTGTATATCAATAATACTAGAATAACTATATTTTATTTATTATCTAATTTGGTACACCACACCATTAATGTAAAAAGGCTCAACATAAATCTCATTAATATTTAACCACTGTAAGTATGTCATATCAAGTGATACAAAAATATGATAACAATAGAATTATTGGATGTATGTTAAAATATAATATAATGATTACACTTAGAATTTTTAGTATTTTATCATATTTTATTAAGATAAATTACAATTCACTCTTTAAAACACTACAGGAAAACACTACAGGTCTGTATTATGACCCAAAAGATTTTTTGCTGGATTTGAAAAGGTTTTACACTTGAGCATCTTTGTTATCTGGTAAGTAGTAGATTGTGTTGATGTCACCTTTCGCATATAATTTTGATGTAATTTTTATTCCCTGCAGCATTCCATTTTCTGAATCTGATCTGCACAAGGCCTCTGAATCATTGAAGAGAGTTACAGCAGCAGTTTTGGTAGCTCATGACTGAATTGAAGAGTGCATACCAGATCTCATTTTATTTTTTCAATGATCTTTTAGACATTTCTTTGACTGCATCAACAGAAAAACTCAGATATTTTTGTTTGTTGGTAGATGCTTTCATAATACTTGTATGTATAATTCGTTTGAATTGCATCATTTGTGCCGATCTGTTTTGTAATAACTTTCAACTTACCACTAGGCACTAGTTTAACATTACTTCATCTTGGAATTGAAATATTTTTGCATATTGAAAAGCATAAATTGAATCAGTATTATGTTTACAAAAATTTAGTCAATATTATTGAATATTTTCCATTTTTATTAGAGGTATTTTTTTTTAGTTAAATATCACAGAATTAGCACAATTTAAAAAATAAAAATAAAAAATGGTGAATTATACTAACAGTCCCTATAGTTTGGCTCTTGTGTCATTTTGGTCCCTGACTTTTCAATTGTAACACATTTGACCTTGAATTTTGAATCTTGTTCCAAATAAGGATAATTGAATATATTATTAGATTTTTCAAGGGCAAAATCATCAATTTGATAAAATATAAATTAATTTGACAAAAATAAATATCAAAAATTATTTTTGAATTTTTAAAAATTATTTCTACCTACTAAAGATAAAATTATATAAAATTGATAAATCTTTTAGGCATTCTTTTTTAACAAATTAATTTTTATTATGTATTTGGATGATGATCACGTAAAATTAATTTTTAAAAATTAACCATGCAATTTTTATTAATTTTTATCAATTTTACATAATTTTATTTTTGGTGGGTAAAAATAATTTTAAAATATTTTTTTGACATTTACTTTTGTCAAATTAGTTTATATTTTATCAAATTGACAATTTGCCTTTGAAATTAAGCAATGGTATGTTCAATTGTCCTTATTTGGAACAAGATTCAAAATTCATGGTCAAATGTGTCACAATTGAAAAGTCAGGGACTAAAGTGACACAATCTCCAAACTATAAGGACTGTTAGTTTAATTTTCCCAATAAAAAATGAAGCTATAACAGCATTTTTAAATGCCACTATAGAATAATGCCAACGGTTATATTTTTAAAATAGAAAAGATCTATCACGACGTTTTTAAAACGTCATTAAATGTGGCGTGATGTCACTATACTAATATAGCAACGCTTTTAAAGCGTCATAAAGTTACAGCGACGGCCGCATCTTCAGCGTTTGGTACTAAACATCACAAAAACAATTAGCGGCATTTTTAATAGTTATAGTGGCATTTTGTAAATGCCACTAAAAGTGTAATTTCTAGCAGTAAAATTTGTTTAAAACACAGATTGTCCTCCGACAGTTCTAAAAATTACAAATGTCCTCTTTTGTCATAATTTTTTATTTAACAAAAAAATATATTTTTCTATATAACAATATAATTACCTTGGTTGTTAATTAAAATATATTCCTGACGTTATTAAAAATTATTAATTGATTTGATAATTTAATAATATAATGGATAATTTGTTATGCAATTATTAAAAATTTAAAAAGACATAATATAATTTTAAAAATTATATAAAATAATCCGTATTTAAAAATAATAATAATAATAATAAAGAGTGTATCATACGATACATCACATTTATACTCGTTCATACAATCAGTCGCCGGTTAATATCTGTAGCATCTAATAATTGTGAGTCTTTCACATATGGTAAGTGTGGACATGTTGCATTTGTCATGCACAACTTTTTATAGATAAAGTAAAGTAATTTTTTTCGTTTTTTTTTTTCCACGCAGCAGTAAAGTAAAATCAGACTTTATTAGTTAACTTTAATCTCAATATAAAATGTCATCAAGGTTGAAAAAAGTTATAAATTTGGTCATGCACCACCAAGAATCGCACTAAAAAATATGTGTATTGTGGGGATGTATTTTTTGAATACCGACACGTGGCATGGTGACGCCGACGTGTCAGCCGAGGTGCCACGTGTCCTGGAAGTTAAGCCGAGATAATCTCGGAGAAGCCGAGGTTATCTCCGAAGATATCGGAATCCGAGATAAGGGACAAGAGTCCTAAGACGGAGAGGGGACTTAACCAAGATAGGGATAAAGATCTTAAGGAGTTTATCTTTATCTCTTAAAGAATCCAAAGTAAACATTGATATGAAGTTCATAGAAGTCATACTTCTATTGGGACTTGGATTGAGTATATTATAAAAGAGAGGCACCCCCATGGGTCTAAGGTATGCAATTTATGTTTTGAGTATTCAATTTAGCACTTGATTATTTCTGAGAGATATACTGACTTGATCGTCGGAGTGCCCCCGGGTGGAAGAACCACCGCCGGAGCTTTTTCTTTCTGTTACAGGTTGCTAAAGCCATCTATTCTGCCTGTGCTCTCCAGCTGATCACTAAACGGGCAGTGTGGTCAGATTTTCACCCACACATGTATCACTACTAGAAAAATGACCTTTTGTTACTATACAATTTGTGACCCCCTAATTATCAGTCGCGAATAATCTATTTATTCCTTATATTTATCTTTTCTTCCTTTTTTCCTTATAATTGCCCTAGCCCTATTTCACAAACATTGATATCGTTCCCCTCCTTCTCTCTCTCTCTCTCTCTCTATATATATATATATATATGTGCATGTATATATGTTGGATCTGGAGATTTTGAGTAGGAATTCATGTATGTGTTGCTTCAATTGTATAGTTTTGGTCAGATATTTGAATATTGAATCAGAAACGACGTAGATCTCTTATGAATATCAGTTTTATTTAGTAATTTTGTTTAATTCTAATCTCGCTCGTTAATGAGGTTCGCAAAACTAGAGGTTCATGCTCATGATTAAATTGTTTTTACCAAATTTGCAATTTCTGATGCATTTAGTCCGCGTGATACGGAAATTTTCGGTGCGAAATTCAATTTGATAAAATGAAGGTGTTTCTTATGCTTTTATGCTCTGAAATCTGTCAGTTCGAGGTTTCTATCCATCCGAAAATGTAAATATTTGCTTTGGAAATTGGTTGAATTTAAGTCCACGTTTGTTTTCGCTGATTGTTAATCGATGCGAAATTTAATTTGATAAAATGAATGCGTTTCTTGTGCTTTTGTGCTCTGAAATTTGTCAGTTCTAGGTTTCTATCCATCCGAAAATGTAAATATTTGCTTTAGACATTGGTTGAATTCAGGTGCACGTTTGTTTTTATACGTACATAAGAGAAAATTTCATGTGTTTCATCAATATTCTTTGTCAGATCAAAAATGAATTGATTGTTGTGGTCAACGAAACAATTTAGTCATTATAATTGGGGATTGCTGCATTTTTTGTTTGAAATTTTACCAGATTTTTTAAGTTTTGATTAACGTTTTCTCATGCTTTATTCTTAAAAATTCATGAGCTGAGGTTTCTTAGATTACTTTATAAAAAAAATGTAATATTGTTTAGAACGTTGGTCTAATGAATATTATGCTGAATTTGGTCCTAGTTGTTAGATTAATTGTCAGATTCGGGGTTTTGTTAATTATTATTGTGAAGAATGTGATAGATCTTTACTTTTTGGTACATTGAAAACCATTGTGAATAAAAGGGCCTGTTTTCAGGTGACTATTAAAGAGTCATATATATATATATGAATTCTCACATTAGAACTATAATCCTGTGATTGAAATTACCAGATCAGCATATATTAATGATTCCATGATTGCATTTTCCCTGCTAATTGTTTTTATTGTTGAATATTTTTCATTCAAATTGTTTCTTTTGTTCCCCTGTTTATAATATTATTCAGCAGAAATGGGTCATTTTTACAAATAACTTGCTTCAGAAATGCACATAGCTTGTCTATAAATTTGCTTTCTTTTTTCAGCCTGATGGTCAGATGCCGAGTGACAAGACTATTGGTGGAGGTGATGATGCCTTCAACACCTTTTTCAGTGAAACTGGTGCGGGAAAGCATGTCCCTCGTGCTGTCTTTGTAGACCTTGAACCCACTGTCATAGATGAAGTGAGGACTGGAACCTACCGTCAGCTATTCCACCCTGAGCAACTCATCAGTGGCAAGGAAGATGCTGCCAACAACTTTGCCCGTGGTCACTATACAACTCTCTCTCTCTCTCGCACGCGTTCAACAGACCTGTATAGCTCTGCTCTTTCGCTCGTCATCGTCGTCTTAAGATCTCCAGTGGTATGAATCTCTCTCTCAATCTCGCCCCCAATCCCTCTCTCTCTCTCTCTCTCTCTATCTATCTATCTATCTCTAGCTACACATACATATCATACAAGGAAGCTCTGGTTCGAGTAATTCGTCTCATCCTCGTACAGGTATGTACTGGTTCAACTCATCTTATTCTTGCCCTATTTTCTTGCATTTTCCATATCTATTAGTGTATATCTCTCAATTTCTTCTTCAATACATTATAGTGAGTAGTACATAATTGTTTTTAACTTGAAATCAAGATTTCATTTATTATCGGCAATTTTGAATTTGTTGAGGCAAGAACTGGTAAATTTGAATTTGGAAGATAAAAAGTCCTAGTGTTGAATTTGCTTGATTTATATGTGATATTAAATTAGTTCGTTGATCATGCTGATTGGATTTTCTAGTTGATCGATTTGTTAGCATTGACATTGACATTGACATGAATCATTATCACTCGGTACAAGTGTATTCATCATTGCTCTTGCTGTTGGAACTTTTGCTTGTTGGATGTTGTGAATGTCTTTGGTGATTTCTATAATCATATTTTTTGAATATGTTTGAAGAAAGGGGAGAGGGACATATAGAGGTTAAATTCTTGACTGAAGGCGAGCGCGTGTTCTATTTTCCTCAAGGACATATTGAGCAGGCTAGTTTCCAACTCTAGGCAATTCTATTCGGAGTTCTTTGTTTCTCTCAGAGGTTAAATTCATTAGGATTTCTTATAATGCTTTATAATTTTATCAGTTTTGTCTCTCTTGGTTGTGCATCTCCAAGTTATTACATTGAGAATGAAGGGCCATCACCATGAAAACTAGTGATATGTTTCTCTTTTGCCCTGTTTGTGTGAAAAGGTAAAGAGATTTGTGTATTGGCTTTGCAATATTTGTTGCAAAAAGCGGTGAAAGCTATGCCCAAATTACTATTCTCTGTAGGTTGACTCTATTTACTATGCTTTGCTTTTAATGTAGGACAATGGAAGAGGAATGCCACATGATGATATTCCCAATATGTTTGGACGAGGTTTGACACTACTTGCAAGATACCGTTTCCATTTGATACGATTTATTGTTGGCACATGGACTGGAATATTTGTTTGATCATGGACATTCAATGTGTTCATATTACATTGAGAATTGCTAGGATTAATATGTTTCAACTCTATAATGATATTGTAATATTGACTTATTGTGAGAATATTTATATTTGTGTAGTTTTGTCTGGGACAAAATATGGCTTGAAGCAGACACGCGGAAAGTTTGGACTTGGTGCAAAGATGGTAATGTTTGACATCATTTAACCAATTTATGCATCTTCAAGTCTTAGTGTGAGAATATATATTTGTGCCCTTCCATTAGGCTTTATTTGTATATTTTAGTTCCTATGGTTCTTCGTTTAATAATCATGATAGAATATGAATGTGAATTTGGTCAACCATATTCTTATGCTTATAATATAATATGGTCAACAATTTGATCTTTGTCCTTATGTAGGCATTAATTTGGTCCAAGATGAGTACAGGGCTTCCTATTGACATTTCATCATCAATGAAGGGCCAAAATTATAGTTCATTCTGCAGGCTTGATATAGACATTCATCAGTATGATTTATATAAGGCATAACTTATAATCCTATGACTATTGTTACATTGTGAATGTGCATAGTTGTAAGTCTCCGGTTTATAAGACATTCATCGGCTTGATCTTTGTACTTTTCGTTTCTTTCTTTATAGTTTATAAATGGAGCTTCTTTCAATCATTAGGAACATTCCTCACATTCACTTACATGAAAAACGGGACAATAAGGAACGATGGCATGGAGCTGAAATCCAAGTTGTTATTGAGGGGAATTGAACAACTTACCGTGTATGCAGCACTCAATTTGGCCCATGTCATGTGATTCCGTTGTACTTTTAGCTGTATACATAAATAACGAAGCAAAGCATTTATGTGATGTGTTTTGGAATCGTGTTTGATCAAATAAATTGAGCAACATATTCTTTTGCTGATGATAATCCTCTCAAATTCTATATTAGGCTTATCAATGGCATCACTGACAGAACTTTCTTTCAACTGGATTGGTTTTATTAGTGTGATGATTTCAAATATTGCATTCACTTGCAGGAGTATCTATTCAAAGAAGCAATGGTAATGTCTTTCACAACGTGTAATTATTCTTAGTATTCTAAATTGTGGTTTTTATTCTTGGTATCTCTTATGTTGCTTTCGACTTTTCTAAATGCAAGAAGTAATGGAGGAATGCCACATGATGATATTCCCAATATGTTTGGACGAGGTTTGACACTACTTGCAAGATACCGTTTCCATTTGATACGATTTATTGTTGGCACATGGACTGGAATATTTGTTTGATCATGGACATTCAATGTGTTCATATTACATTGAGAATTGCTAGGATTAATATGTTTCAACTCTATAATGATATTGTAATATTGACTTATTGTGAGAATATTTATATTTGTGTTGTAATGAAAAACTATTGACAATTCATTGTGCCTATTATTATTTTTTTTGTCCAGAATCATGATTATTAAACGAAGAACCATAGGAACCAAAATATACAAAACCAATTCAGCAGAACACACAGCCAAGTACACAAACTCCTACGCTAATAGAGGACATACAACACAAATGCACCCCTGCCAACCATCCACAAGTGAGCAAGACGGCAAAGCACAAGATAGCAAATAACACTCAGCATCAGGGTACCACTTGAACACCCTCCACCCCTGTACACCAGGTCACCACCTGGCACTCAAACCAACCTCTAGTGTAGATATATTTGTCTTAATTAGCCTTTTTGCTCGATATCTTAATTTAGTCTTTTTGACCTTTTCCATTTCCACTTATCATGCAAAGAGTGGATATATTTGTTATTGAGCCACTAGTTATCAAATTACAATGTGTTTTTTATTATTTTTTTATTACTTGGAATATAAATATAATATTTTGCATTTGTTTGTTTTCATTGTTGATTGCACAGTTGACTGCTCGTAGATGCCAAGAATGTGGACAAACACTTCCTCCAACCTATCAACCCCCGGCTGACGAAGATTGGTCAACTGGAATTTTTGGGTGTACTGAAGATACCGACAGTTGTAAGTGTTCTATCTACTTCAACTTTTCAACTAGTGGCATTCAAGTTTTCACATTAAGTTGTCAAGTCGTGTACATATAGAGGGGGGGGGAGGGGAAGTTCACTCATTTTTCTTTAATTAAAAATCTAATTTCAGCCTCCTTTGTCAAATAGAGCTCATGTCTAACTGGGATTGTGCATATTTAGCATAATTATACAAGATAGACGCAAATAAAAATGATCTACATGGTATAATAGCAATAGTTTCACGGACTGGCATACGAAATTAACAGAACAATTTTTTCTAGAATTTGATGTTTAAAACTCAGTTAATATGAAAAATAAAATGCATTATTTATACATCTAAATTCACACAGAATAATTGCTTCTTCTTTGGATAAGGATGTCTGAATGTATTTTGTGTTTTGCATTACTGAGATCCTCGTTTATTTTTGAATCATTTGTTCATCTAATAGGCTTGACTGGACTATTCTGCCCATTTGTGTTATTTGGACGTAACGTTGAAAACTTGAACGCTGATATCTCTCAAAGGGCTGCCTGTGTTGGTCATATCATATGTGTCGAAGGTGGTATGACGTTTGCTGCATTGACATCAGTTCTTAATGGCATTGATCCACAGACATTATTTCTCATTTATGAGGGTCTGTTCTTTGCTTGGTGGATGTGTGGAAGCTATACCAGCATGGCTCGGCAATCATTGCAAAAAAAGTATCATCTAAAGGTGATCTGAATTGCATTATTGTAGAAAAGAAACTTGAATAAAAAATGAAGTTAAATAAAAATAAAATTGGAAGTTTCAGAAAATTAAAAATGGAAATTCATTCCAGAAACCACTATACCTTAACGATCTATTTAGAAATTAAATAATAAAAGGAAGTTGAGTACAAAAGAATCTTCAATAAAAAAGGAAATTAAATAAAAATAAAATTGGAAGTTTCAGAAAATTAAAAATGGAAGTTCATTCCAGAAACCACCATAACTTAACGATCTATTTGGAAATTAAATAAAAAAGGAAGTTTAATAGAAAAGTAAAAGGATTAAAAATGGAAGTAAAATAAAAATAAAAACGAAAGTTGCATAAAATTAAAAATGGAAGTTCAATCCAGAAACCACTATACGTTAACGATCTACTTGGAAATTAAATAAAAAAGGAAGTTTAATAGGAAAGTAAATTGAATAAAAATGGAAGTTGAATTAAAATAAAAATAAAAGTTGCATAAAATTAAATATGGAAGTTCAATCCAGAAACCACTATACCTTAACGATCTACCTGGAAATTAAATAAAAAACGAAAACC